ATTCGTTCGTCTTGCTTTTATTTATTTATTTATCTTTTTATCACAGGCATTTTTTTACAGGCTCCACAATCGTTTGTTGGGTCCTTCGCCGTGTAAGGGCCAGGCAGTTCTTGTAGTCCTGTGCAGGCTGGGCGATCATTCAACAGGGAAGCAGTGGTGTTAAAAAGCAGCACACGTAAAGGTAAAGTGAAAAGTCGTTAAATCTCTAAGAGAAGAAATTAAAGCAGAAAATATGTTTGATTTCTCATGAAACTGTGTCTGAAGTCTTGTCTCGGAAAGAAATGGAAAGCTAACAATCAGTTAGCTACGCTTTTGTGTTAGCTTGTATATCTTCATTTTTTCTTAACTGTCTTAAACTGATTCTATGTCTTTTTAATTGCATTGAAATACTACTTCAAATAATGGATTTCTCGTATTTATATGACACCGTTTGAGACAAAGATTCTTGTGATTTTGTCTCAGTCATTATGTAGGAGAGGAATGTAGGTGAAAGGTCGCTGCAGCAGGGTGTTGGGCAGGGGTGACCCAGGGACCTGTCAAACTGACGTACATAAATATTCGTATCTTATAAACTCAAAAAGAAACTGAAATAGTAGTATAAATATTAGCAGTTTGATGCTTTAGATACTAGTTTGTATGATATATGTTGGGCCAAACTAAAGTGCGCATAGTGTTTTGGTTATATGGCATTATTGTTCATTTAATTATCAAAAAGCTATTGCCTTTAGGGAAACGAAGATTTAAGGCCAATTACTAATGTTATGCTTTGTATAAAAAATGTGTTGATGGGTAACTTGGCTCGAAATCTATAGAATGGTTTTGTTGTTTTTCTTTGTAATTTTAAGGAATTACATATTAATATTAACTTGTTAAATGATAACAAAAATCTAGCTTACCATGTGTAATAAAGCATATTACATAACTGTTTAAATCATTTTAAGCTGTTCTTTATCCCATTCTTTAAAGGTTAGGGTTAACCCTAACCCTTTAAAGGTTCCATCCGTTCTCTATTATCCCATCAGTTTTCTTCATGCATCTGTCCATACATCTGTTCTCCTGTTACTGTCCATTTATCTTTTCTCCCTGCTTACTATGAATTTGCTGGTTCCAAATTCAGTGCCTAACTAACATGGAAATATCTGCCATAAATTTGTAGAGATCTTTTCTATCTTAAATGCACTAAAAGGATTGCCACCGTATAGTTTGTGTCTGAAAAAGTGTGAAATCTACATTAATATGATACACTCCCATGTGATATACTATCATTGCTCTTTACTTTTTTATTTTTGATGTACATTTCTTCAGTCATGGTTTCTTTTTCCTTGAAAATGTCTGGCTCAACTTTAAAGTATATTTGTTTTTATTTTCAATCTAGATCATAATGGCCTCCATGTTGCTGAAAACAACGCGGACTGGCGCTGTCAGTCCTTCCTGGGCGGTGCGCTCTCGTAAGTTTTTGTTTTTTTAAAGTCCTATGATATGCTAAATACTCTCTTTGATTGGACTTAAACATAAATCCACTGCCAATATGTCATGTTTTCTTTTATATATTTTTTCAAATTATTCTAGTTTAATAAAATGATTCATCATTAATACTATTTTGTTTATTCTGTCAGTTGTCCGATCTCTCAGTACAACAACGCAACTCCAGGCTCAAGGTAACAAGTGCTACTATTAGAACTATAGAGTTAATTCTTAAAAAAAATGTGTACTACTGTATAAAACAGCAAAATTGTATTTAACAGAATAAGGGGATTTGGTTTTTTCCCAGATTGCTCTCAAAGGCATATTTAATTAAACATTTTATTTGTTTAAAATTCATGAAAATAATTTAATTAATTGAAATTTTCAGTGTTTGCTTTCAACTAGTGTAAATTTACTTATTAGCGGGTTATTTGGCAGTTAATTTATAAGGCACTACCTATTCTATAGCAGTTAACAAAACATGAAATGTGATAACTTCATATAAATAAGAATGGTTAATGATGTGTCGACCACTGTTTGCATTTATAAGCTTGTGTTTTAATTCCCTTTCCAGCTCAAACAAAGAGCAAAAAGACACTGGCTCGTCCTGGGTTGAAGAACATTGTTCTGGTAGAAGGTGTTCGGACCCCTTTCCTGATGTCTGGAACCACGTGAGTTTCTTCAAACTGAGTTCACATCTTCGAGTCTGTGGACATTATTGGTTTCTACAAATCTATTGTCCGCACTACTTGGTAAGTTAAATAATGAAATCTACTTTTCACCTTTTTGACAGGTATGCAGATCTGATGCCCCATGACCTGGCCAGAGCAGCTCTTCAGTAAGTTTGTGATCGAGTTGACTTTAATACAAAATGCAACTTAGAAAAAACTGTTTATGTAGTATTCTTTGTAATTTAAACCAACACTGCCTAATTTCTCAATCGGATATTAGCTTAATTTGAGATTGATAAAATAGATTTTTCATATTAATATACTGCATAATGTATTTGAGGGCCTACTTACTTCTGATGATCGATTGGTTACTAAATGAGTTGTGTGACCCAGAGCGCCTCTTTACAGCTAGCTCTCTGAGCTCCACTTGAACATGATGGCTAACTAAGCTTAAAGTTGTTGTTAGCCTACAAAACCGATTTAACCCTTACCTGATCAGGAATATTGTTGGTTCTTTTATGTAGGATTTATTCTGGAGCAGTGAACGTACCTTGTCTTTTACAAGTTACTCCATGACTTTTCAATCTTTGGGTCCAGTTACCTGCTGTTGGAGGAAGACTGTTTCATTTTGCCCATTTTGCTTTTAAAGGTACACTATGCAACCGGTGTTGATTTTCCAGCGAGGCTCCCCCCAGAGGGCGAAAGTAAA